GGGGAAGAGTCCCTGAGGGAAGTTGATGGACATTGGCGGGGGCGGAGGGATACTGGGGGGAAGAGTGCCTGAGGGAAGTTGAAGGGGGTTGACAGGAGTGGAGGGATATCGGGGGAAAGAGTCCCTGAGGGAAGTTGACAGGAGGTTTGGGGTCGGGAAGTGGAGGGATATCGGGGGGAAGAGTCCCTGAGGGAAGTTGAAGGGCGTTGGTGGGAATGGAGAGATATGTGGGAGGGGAAATAGTCCTCAGGGAAGTAGGCAGGGGGTGAGGGTCGGTGGGGAAGTGGAGGGATATTGGGGGGAAGATTCCCGGTGGGAAGTTGATGCGGGGGGGTTGGCAGGAGTGGAGGGATATTGGCAAGGGGAAAAAGTCTCTGAGGGAAGTTGGCTGGGTGGGTGGAAGGCTATCTGGGAGGGGAAGTAGTCCCTGAGGGACATGTGGGGGCCCGGGTGGAAGGATATCTGGGAGGGGAAGTAGTCCCCGGAAGACATGGGAGGGCCCGGGTGGAAGGATATCTGGGAGGGGAAGTAGTCCCCGGAAGACATGGGAGGGCCCGGGTGGAAGGATATCTGGGAGGGGAAGTAGTCCCCGGGGCACATGGGAGAGCCCGGGTGGAAAGATATCTGGGAGGGGAAATGGGGGGCCCGGGTGGAAGACTATCTGGGGGAGCGGTCAGTGGGGGCCATGAGGTGACCCCTCTCCTCGCCACTCCGCAGACCTGATGACGGAGATGACGGACCTGAGCGGGGAGCTGGAGGGCTCAGGAATCCCCTTCCTGGACTACGGCACCTACGCCCAGCGCGTTTTCTTCCCTGGCCAGGGGGGGGCGCCGGCGCGTCGGGGGTTCGAGCTGCCCGAGGGGCGCAGGGCCACTGTGGAGCAGGGCCTGGCCCAGCTCTCCAGCCTTCTCAACAGCAAGGCCTTCCTGCTGACGGTGAGAGCGGGGGCGGGGAGGCCGGGGGGGGGCAGAGAGTTTGGGGGGCTGGGGCGCTCTCCAGCCTGCTCAACAGCAAGGCCTGCCCATAGTGGTGAGAGTGGGGGTATGTGGGGTGGGGATTATTGGGTTACAGAGGCGTTGGTGTATGGGGTGCAGGGGGCTATGGGGGTCCTGGATACGGGAGTAGGGTGTATAGTCTATGGGCTACATGGAGCAGGGCTATGGAGGTCCAGGGTATGGAGGCAGGGGGCTATGGGGTACAGGGCTATGGGGATACAGGGTGCTGGGGGGTATAGGGAGTATGGGGGTGCAAGGGGCAGGGCTATGGGGGGGCAGGTTATGGGAGCAGGGGGCTATGGGATACAGGGAGTTCGAGGATAGAGGGATATTGGCATACAGGGTGCAGGGCTATGGGGGTACAGGGGCGATAGGGGTAAAAGGATTCTGTGGGTATGGAGGCAGGGGACTACGAAAGTACAGGGAGTACAGAGGTAGGGGGTTATTGGCGTACGGGGGCAGGGCTATGGGGCAGGAGGCTATGGGGTACCGGGAGTATGGGGGGTACTGGGGGCAGGGGACTATGGGGGTACAGGGAATATGGGGGCAGGGGGTTATTGGTGTACAGGGGCAGGGCTATGGGGGTACAGGGATTATGGGGGACAGACAGGGGGTATGGGGGCGGGGGCTATGGGGTACAGAGATTATGGGGGATAGGGGCAGGGCTATGGAGGTACAGGAGCTAGGGAGTACAGGGGGGCAGGGCTATGGGGTCCCGGCAGGTGGGGGGACGGCACAACGCTACCCGGGGAGGGAGCGACGGGGCGCTGGGGGGGGGCACCACACACCCCCGTGCTGACCCCCCTCTCGGCCCAACAGCTGATCCACACGCTGGAGGGGCAGGCGTCGTTCTCGCGGCAGGACCGGTGCCAGGCGGCCTCGCTGCTGGCGCTGGCGCTGCACGGGCGGCTGGAGTACCTGACCGACGTCATGCAGAGCTTGCTGGGCGAGCTGGCGCAGCGTCACATGGCCCGCAACCCGAAGCTCATGCTGCGCAGGTCAGCCCCACACCCCTCGCCCCTGCCGGGGGGCATCCCCAGGGCCTGCTCAGCAAAGGGGGGCAGGGGGAGTGCCCCCGGCTAGCGGGAAAATACCAGAGCCCCCCGATCACCCGGTGCACGGGCAGAGCCCCCCGATCGCCCGGCCTGGGAACGCGGCTGTTCCCCGCTGATGGGAGAACCAGCCATGGTGTGACCCGCACCAGCCCAGAGAGCTGCTGACGGGACGAGGGGCACCCGAAGAACCCCTGCGGGGCGCCGGGTCCAGCCCGACCCCTTCTCCTGACACCCTGGCATGGGAGGGAAACGGGGGGGGGGGTAGTTGAGTCATTGCCATTGGAACTTGTCCGCCGGGGTCCAGGGGGAGGAGTTGGGCGGGAGGTAGATGGGGGTGCACTGGGGGAGGGGAATGGAGAGACGGGGGGGCAGGCACCCAGGGGAGGGGCAGGGAGGTGCCCGTGGGGTGATCAGAGTCTGGGAGCATCTCACAGCGAACCCCACTGAATCCCTGCACCCCACAGGACGGAGACCATGGTGGAAAAGCTGCTGACTAACTGGATGTCCATCTGCATGTACTCCTACCTCCGGGTGAGTGCCCGGACGCCGGGGTCCTGGCCCGGCCAGGGCGGGGGGAGAAGGGGGCTGGGAACCCAGGACTTCTGGGTTCTCTGAGAGGGGAGAGGGGTCTGGGGGGTTAGAGTGGGGGAAAGGGGGGCTGGGAGCCAGGACTCCTGGGTTCTCTGAGGAGGGGAGAGGGGTCTGGGGGGTTAGAGTGGGGGAAAGGGGGGCTGGGAGCCAGGACTCCTGGGTTCTCTGGGAGGGGAGAGGGGTCTGGGGGGTTAGAGCGGGGGAAGGAGGGGCTGGGAGCCAGGACTCCTGGGTTCTCTGGGAGGGGAGAGGGGTCTGGGGGGTTAGAGCGGGGGAAGGAGGGGCTGGGAGCCAGGACTCCTGGGTTCTCTGGGAAGAGAGGGGTCTAGGGAGGGTCGGGGGGGGGGGGAGGCTGTGGCCCTGGACGTCTGGGTCCCACCCTCTGCGTCTCCCCAGGAGGTGGCGGGCGAGCCCCTGTACCGGCTGTTCCGGGCCATCAAGTGGCAGGTGGACAAGGGGCCGGTGGACGCGGTGACGGGCCAGGCCAAGCGGACGCTGAGCGACGGGCGCCTGCTGCGGGAGGACGTGCCCGTCCGGCCCCTGGCGCTGAGCGTGCTGCTGCGGGGGGCGCCAGGGGGCGCCGGGGAGCAGCGGGTACCCGCCCGCGTCCTCGACACCGACACCATCAGCCAGGTCAAGGAGAAGATCCTGGACCAGGTCTACAGGGGGGTGCCCTTCTCCCAGCGCCCCCCGGCCCACGCGCTGGACCTGGGTGAGGGGCAGGGCAGGGGTGTGTGGGGCAGGGCCTCTTCCAGCGCCCCCAGCCCACGCGGTGGACCTGGGTGAGGGGGCGGGGCAGGGGTGTGTGGGGCAGGGCCTCTCCCAGCCTCCCCTGGACCTGGGTGAGGGGGTGGGGCACGGGTGTGTGGGGTAGAGCCTCTCCCAGCCCCCCTGGCGCACGCGATGGACCTGGGTGAGGGGGCACGGGCAGGGGTGTGTGGGGCAGGGCCCCTCCCAGCACCCCACACCCTGCGTATGGGTTGCGGTAGGGGCAGTGTGCGCATGGGGGGGGGCAGAGGGGCCCCTCTCACACCGTGTCCCCATCCCTCCCCAGAGTGGCGCTCGGGCGTGGCCGGTCACCTGACCCTGTCTGACCAGGACCTGACGTCCGTCACCCACAACGGGTGGAAGAGACTCAACACCCTGCAGCACTACAAGGTGAGGGTCCCGGACGCCTGGGTTCCCTCCCCAGCTCTAGGTGGGGAGTGAGGTCTGGGGGCGGAGTCTGGGTCCCGGACGCCTGGGTTCCATCCCCCTGGCTCTGGGTGGGGAGTGAGGTCTGGGGGTGGAGGGTCTGGGGTCCTGGGCGCCTGGGTTCCCTCCCCCGGCTCTGGGTGGGGTGTAATGTCTGGGGGTGGGGGGTCTGGGGTCACGGACGCCTGGGTTCCATCCCCCGGCTCTGGGTGGGGAGTGAGGTCTGAGGGTGGGGGGTCTGGGGTCCAGGACGCCTGGAGTTCCGGACACCTGGGTTCCATCCCCCGGCTCTGGGTGGGGGGTGGGGTCTGGGGTCCCGGACACCTGGGTTCCATCCCCTGGCTCTGGATGGGGTGTGAGGTCTGGCATGGGGTCTGGGGTCCCGGACACCTGGGTTCCATGCCCCGGCTCTTTTCTCCCCCCAGGTTCCGGACGGGGCGACGGTCGGGCTGATCCCGCGGCTCCAGAACGACGTCCCCCAGAGCCCCAACCAGAGCTTCCTCTCCGGGGAGAGTGAGTGCCCCCCCGCCCCCTGTCTGCTGTGGAGATGGCACAGCCCAGCCGGCCCACACCTGCAGTCCTGGCCATGACCCTGGACTGAACCAAGGGAGGCATGGGGGTGGTGGAGGGAATTTCAGATTGACCCAAGTGGGGGGAGGAATATTGGGCGATGGGACCTTGGACTGAACCAAGGGGTTGGATCTCGGGGGCCTTGGACTGAACCAAGGAGGGGAATGGGGGTGGGATCTGGGGGGGCCTTGGACTGACCCAAGTGGAGAGAAATCCCGGGGGGATCCAGACTAACCCCACCCCCGCAGACACCCCAATGCTGGAGGATGGCGATGAGGGGGGGCTGCGGCTCTGGCACCTGGTGAAGCCGACAGAGGAGCCGGAGGCCCCAAAGCAGCAACAGCGTCGCAGCAGCTTGCGGGAGCGACCCACGGCCATCCCCGAGATCTACCTCACCCGCCTGCTCTCCGTCAAGGTGAGACCCCCCCTCATTGCCCCCCCTGCTCCCGCCACGG